TATTTAAAAAAAAAAAACATTTCATCATACATGTAAGAAAGTGGCACCAGTTTCTCAGAGATCAGATGACGGGGAAATTAGGTCAGCACAAGAAACAGCATAATAAGACACAGGAAGTCACAAAGCCGTGCAGGAAAGTAAACAAGAGAGAGATGCAACACACATGGTGTTTGAATATATTTGTAATGAAGTTTTTTATGCTCGTTAACTGTAGTTATTTCTAGCGTATTTCTGCTTGTGTACAAAATACTGCAAACTCTAGAGAGCTGGGAAATCCCATTTTAACAGGAACCTAATCAGATGATGACTGAGACCAGAGTGAGAGACTCTCAGTCAGACAAATACTCAGAATGATTCGCCCATAATTTACTAAACAGAATAAGAAGAACGTCATCACTCTAATACTATCCTGTAGCATTTTCTCATTATTACACACAATCCAGCTGTTTACAGATTTCCAGATGTTCACTTCTGCTGAACGAAAGCCACGTTTTTCCAGCTCTCCCTGGGGACCCTGAGATGTTCCCAGGCCAGATGGAATATGTCGTCCCTCCAGTGAGTTCTGGGTCTACCCCAGTGATAAAGTCAAATATGTAATTAGCTGTGCTGAGTACTTTCAGCCCTTTTTTTGTCTTTCTTCATGGACCTTGATTTGAACCCTGTAGTTATTTGCAGTACATTCTACTGATTGAGGCAGTACGAGTTTATATTTCTGTTGTGTCGGGATTTTGTGTGGATACCATTAACACCACAAGGGTGGAAGTAATTTGTGTTATTTACCATAGTGATTGTTTGCTTTGGTGCCTTCTGATTCTTAGTTGTACTTTCTGTGAGGTACCGTGTTTTAGTTTGTGGTACTTTTGCAGTACTCACTGAGGCTCTATGTTGTTACCATCCAGTGATCAGTATTAGTATACGTAACATTCATGTACATCAGACTCAGTCAAAGAGAAGGAGTCAAACACATTAGTCTTTTGTCCGTGGCTGTATTGTCCTTCATGAACTTTCACTGTCCATGTTGTCAGGGTGAATAATACACATGGAGCTCGACCTGCACTGAGACAAACACATAAAGGGAAATAGATGCACTGGTTTCCCTTCTCAATCAGCAGAGGCGGAGACACTGTGAGCCTCATGCAGAGAGAAAGCGCAAGAGAAGGAGACACACTCAGGAAGTTAACAGAGGAAGTTTAGTGGTTTCTTGCGTCATCATTTTATGCTGCCTCTTGTGCCGATGCAGAGTGAAGGTAGGAACACGAGTATTTACTCCTTAACTTGGTCATTTCTCTCAACACTGGAACTCTTCCCTGGAGGTGGTCAGGTAGGGAGGGATGCTGGACTGAAGGAGGAGAGTGGCAGGTGTCAGGACAGATGGAGGGGATGGGGAGAGAGTTTGAGCGTCTGCGTGAGTCTGTATGTTCAGGCTCGACTTCCGCTGCACTGAGCCAGGGGCCTCAATGGCCGTGACATGCGTGTGAGGAGAGCAGTCCGGGTCCGTAATGAACTCGGGCCTCAGGCGGGGGACTGAGATTGGAGATTTAGGTGCGTCCACCCGTCCAGAGACACATTATGGTGTGACGAGAGTGAAACAGTCAGAGTCTCACTTCACTGAATAGGAGAAGTTAAGAGACAAGGGTGTGGCCTTTTATTCGAACATAAATTGAGTGCATTGGGGGAAGTGGAGAGTAAACGTACGTGCACAGAGGATTCTGTGCTACTCGTTGTTTGATCCTAGAAGAGACTTTGATTTGGACCCAAAAAGGAACGTTTGTTATTTCTCATGTTGCAGAGAGGACGACAAATGAAAGTATGTCCTAACACATCAGCTCCAACGCGACGCAGCCGACAGAGGAAGCGGCCGACAACATGCACTGAAGTGAAGGAAGCAGCAGCAGCTCGGTCGGATCTCTGAGATGTGCACCACCTCCACTCTGTCTCTGCCACATTAAGCTGAGTTGGTGGAGTCCACGCAGAAAGTGACGGTGTGACGGTGACAGGCTGAGCAGCTCGGGTGGGTCTGAATGTGAGGGGAACACCGCAGACAGGAAGAGATGCGGAGAGTTCGGAGAAGAGGAGGCAACAAAGAGAAGGTGTTTGGATGTGATCTGCTCGAGCACCTGAACGCCTCATGTCAAGAGAGTGAGTAAACTGCTGCCACACAAACAAGCTGTTGGAATAAACCACGTTATTTTCTATTCCACACACTCACTGTGTGTCTAACTATACAACTGTGTGTTGTAGACATGCTGCATATCCTGATTTACCTTGTTGGTGTGGTTCACGTCTTACAGTTAGTAAAATAATCCTTCAAATTAAGACTCAGCGTTTTAAAAGTAAATGTGAAACAATTTCTTTTTGTCGAGACTCCGACCACACATCATCCACCACAACATGTCCACTCAACAAAGTGGGTTTTTCATTCAGTTCAATTTAAATCCTCTCACAAGTAAAAATAATAATCGAAACAAAAGGACATAAACCACTTCGTCTCTAATGCTAACGTACATGGAAGTGGCGTTCAACAAAAGAGAAATGCAGGAACGAAGCATGTTTGGGTTTCAAGTCTACAATGAATGAAAGATTTTAACATCAGAGTGTTTGTGTTCATGGTCGTTGTTTCTAAATGATTCAGGTTTTATTCAGATCATTGACATGAGTCATGTGACACAGTTCCTCAGGTCTTACGATGCTGCAGCGAGTTCGTCGAGCATCATGGCATCGTGGATGGAATCTACAGGTTGTCTGGGGTGTCGTCCAACATCCAGAAACTCAGGCAAGTTGTGTGTGTGTGTGTGTGTGTGTGTGTGTGTGTGTGTATACCTCTCTTTGAACCTTTTGTCTGAAAATGTCAACACTTCCTCTTCGTCCACCACCAGGGGGGAGTTTGAGAGTGACGGGAATCCAGACCTGAACAAGGATGTGTATCTGCAGGACATCCACTGCATCAGCTCTCTGTGCAAAGCTTATTTCAGAGAGCTGCCGAACCCTCTGCTCACGTACCAGCTGTACGACAAGTTTGCTGTGAGTAGCTTGAACTCACACATTCATAGACCAGCACGGACATGTTGTTTACAACAGCTTCATCACACGGAGTGTTCTGTGTTACAGGAGGCTGTTGCCATCCAGCTGGAGGAGGAGAGGCTGGTGAAGATCAGAGATGTGCTGAAAGAACTACCGTCACCACATTACAGGTACGGTGCTGCACACTGACGGCCTCTTTACTGATGGAGATGAACCAACCTGCCGAGTATTTCTGTGCACTGAGCTCGAGGTGAACGTATGACTCACCAAAGTGAACACAGTTCCCAGGTGACCAGAAGCAAACTCTCGTGTAACCGTGAATAATAGTTAACGTGGTTTGTATCTCAGTGTCGTGTTCGCAGCTCGTTGCTCCGCCTCAGAGCAGGATGCAGGTTCACGTCTTCATTTTCTTTCTCAGGACTCTGGAGTTCCTGATGCGTCACCTCGTCAAAATGGCTTCTTATTCCTCAGAGACCAACATGCACTCCAGGAACCTCGCCATCGTCTGGGCCCCCAATCTGCTCAGGTGCGCTGATATCAGTGGCATTTATAGATATATCAGTGTTTGTTGTACACACATTAGATCTTAATTCCTTTCAGCATTTCTTCCCTCACATTTCCCAGTGTAATCAGTTATAAGCCACTTATCAATCAATCAGCGATCAATGGATCAATCTGTGTTTTAAGGTCAAAGGACATTGAGGCGACCGGGTTTAACGGCACGGCAGCCTTCATGGAGGTCAGGGTTCAGTCCATCGTCGTGGAGTTCATCCTCACACACGTCCCTCAGCTGTTTCCTGACCAAGGTCAGAAGACACACACACACTTACACACACACACACACACACACACACACACACACACACTACCTCTGCCTCATCTCTTTCTTCTGCTGTATTCAGGTGGATCGGATGAGAGAAGAAAGTCCCTCCCCTCTCCATCAACAGCGATGGATGACCCGTTACCCAAGTCTGTTCCCTCTCGGCCTCTCGCCAGCTTTGGGAACATCAGTCCAGGGGACGGCCCACTACCCATCAGACCCTACCATGCAATCATAGAGGGCACAGACAAGTGAGGACAATATTTAGCAGTAGCATCGTTACCGATCCCTCGTTGGTGAAATTACAGTTCGACAGCAAAAAAAGTAGTGCAAGAAGAAATGTGCTGAGAATAAAATAAGGAAAGAAAGAGAGTCCAAAATAAATACGATAAAAACAGAATAATAATAGCGATGCATGATACAGATTATTCTTATTCTATATATGTGCAATACGTCAGTGAAATACAGATCAAATATTAACCACCTGCCTGTGAATGTCTGTGTTCACCTCAGGAGGAAAGGATCTCTGAAGGGCAGGAAGTGGATGTCCATATTCAACATCGGAGGACGATTCCAGGACACACGGAGACGACACAAACACTCAAGTAAAGGTAGAAGACCTGCTAAAGAAAATATAATTCCTGGTTTCTGTCTTTATTTCTATAAATAGCTTCTTCTTTTTTTTATGTTAATGTTGATCCCCTTCTATTTGTTCCATGTTTCATAGAATTTGTTTGTGTTCCAGAGAAAGACAGATCTGCTCTGAGACCAGCACGAAGCATGGACTCCCTCAGTATCCAGTCATACGCAAATGAAGGTGCTGCTCTTCTCACAGTCATCGCGATGAATTCTGTGATTCCAGATAAATAAAATACAATAAATGGAAAAAGCAAAGATTTAATTCTACAAACTTGAAAGAAAAATGCCACCAATCAGTTTTTTTTCTTGAAGGATCTGTTCATCAAAAATACTAAAAATAAAAAAGACAGAAAGATTCACTTAGGTTTCATGTTAATTCACCAAAACCTTCCAGTGTTATTTCTGTCTATATCATTTAAAAGAAGGGATTTCTCATATATCATTTGTAGCCTGATTTATACAACACTTCTTAAAATCTTAAAAATTATACTTCTAATGCATATTGACAGTTTTTCTAATTTGTCGATTCCTGCTCAGAAAATATCAGCAAATGAACTCATTACAAACAGATGATGCCTCATTTATGTTTGTGTGTTAGAAATAAGAAGAAGTTTGTGACCTGGATCTTATGTGTTATTATTATTTTAATTATTATCTGTCTCTTATATTCCAGGTTCCAAACATCCTCCCCAAACCCCTCCCTCCACCAACATGTCTCCCCTCGTCACCTCCTCCCCACAGCTGGGCTCGGAGGCCGCGGCGCCTCCCGGTGGAATGGGTGGCAGTGAATATGCTGTGACATACCGCAGAGGAACAGGGGTAATGAGCGGAGGGACCCAGGGCACCTACACCGCTCTCGACCCGGAGGGTTTAGGGGTCATTGGCAGTGACCCAGTCCAGTCCAGATCCCCGGGCCTCTCGGCTAAAGCAGGACGAAGAGCGGCCATGCACATCACAGGGCCCACCCTGGTTACTGTGCCGCTACACATCACCTCCAACCTGGCACTGGGGGTGCTGCAAGGGGGCGGGAGCAACCGGGTCATCCATCGTGGCAGGGATAAGGATGGAGGGGACAGGGTGGAAGGAAAGGAGGGAGAAGGAAAAGTGGAGAGGAAGGAAAGAAAGAGGATGGAAATGAAGGTGGATGGAGGTAGGAAGGTTACAGGGGAGGAGACAGACAGGGTTGTGGACGTGGAGGTGAAAACAGTGGTGGCAGGAGGCGTTGGTGAGGAGGAGGGTGACGGAGTAAAGGTGGAGAAGGAGGAGGAGGAGGAGGAGGAGAGAAGCGTTGGTAGAAGGAAGTCGGAGCTGGTGACGGGAGGTGGAAGTGTGTCCAGAGAGGAACGAGTCAAAAGCCTCAACTCCAACACAGATGATGACGATGCAACGAGAGACGACCAACAAGACGACTACGTGGGTGAGTCCAACTATTTCATGAACCTGCTTCTCATTCAGTATCAGAGCTGAACTTTTCAGTATGCAGACTACTTTTCATGTTTGATCTTTACCTCTCAGTTAATGTGGCAATGAACTGGTTTCTGTTAACCCTGCATTCTTTCAATTTGAGTTTATTGTGTTGCAAGTGCAGCGTAGTCTATAGTTACCTCATCTGTGATCGTAGCCCGTGTTTCACTCACAGATATGAAAAGTGTGGAACCGTCTGATCCTCATCCAGAGGAGAGTGAGCCCGAAGATGTGTATGTGTTTCACGAGTCCGACATCCTCAACTCGACCGAAGCGGAGGGAGACGACCAGGAGCTGTTCGGCTACGTTCAAGATAACTTTGAATTCCTGGACCACATGGACAGCTGCGTCATGGACCACATGGACAGCAGCAACTCACATCAGGTTTGTGTTGTTTGCACAGATGAGGTCGTTTGAAGGTAGTGAGTTTGCAGAAGCGGACAGTTTTATTTTCCCTTTTGAGCTTGTTTTTGTTAATTTGAAGAAAACTCTCTCTTCGTCTCTCAGGTGAACGAGTTCTCCGTCGAGCCTCCCGGTCACTCAGACGACGAGTATGAAGTCATGGCGCAAGCTGAGCCTGCCCAGAATCCTGCAGGGCAACACATGCACCTGCAGCCGGCCCCTGAGTTTAAACCACACAGGCCGCTCAGCCTCGACCTGCACAGCCGACAAACTAAATCCCTCAGCCTGCCTTATATGACCTCACCTGTCCACGGGCCGGACGAGTATTGCTCAGAAGACGAGGATGAGGGCGACCCCAGTGACGATGAGGATGATTACAGCAGTGACGAGGATGGTAGCATGTTCATTAAAAGCCTCCCCGCTGATTTCCTTTTAAACAATCTGACCAGGTTTGACCTGGACACCGATAACGTAAGTAGACTTCCTGTTGAACAGTCTGAAAACTCTGAGGATTTTGAGGCGCTGCACTCTAAAGAAACGACAACCGGAGAACAGGAGCGAGAAGAAGTGATGGATGAAGAGGATGGAGGAGGACTGGAGGGAAAACAGATGATGAAGAGCGAAGAGGAAGATCATCAACAAGAAGATCGACCAGAAAAACAAAGGTAAGAAAGTAAAATCTAATATTACAAATCTCTAAATCTTTACCTGAAAATCAGTTTCTCTTCTTCTTCACGCTTCATTTATCTGTTAACTGTGTGTTAACGTCTATTTGCAGATCGGAGGCAGAGGAAGATCCCGACATCCCGGAGGATGTTCACAGTGACAAAGAAAAGTCTTGTGCTTCCGAACCGTCAACATCCAGCTGTGAGGAGATGGAGAAATTCATCACTATCAAGGCTGCGGAGGAGGAGGAGGAGGAGGAGGAAGAGGAAGGGGTTGATAATCTTCACACTGATTATCCACTATGTTGCACAGATTCTTGTTCCACACAGGAGACTGCTGATGATCTGTTAGAGCAGACTGGAGGACATCCTGGACCCTGTGATGAGGAGGAGACAAAAGAAAAACACACTGACGAGGCAGAGGACAGGAGGAGAGACACAGAGACAACATGTCAAGAAATGGGTCCGGAGAAAAAACAAGGGGGCGAGAACCTGTTGGAAGACTCCATTGAAGAAGATGGAGGGGGAACAGCTGACGATGAAGATGAAGAGGAGGATAGTGTCGTTTGTAGCAGTGAAGTTTGGGAGGAACTTGAGGATGTTGTATGTGAAGTGATCGAGGAAAGTGAGCAGGTTCAGAGGGAGAAAGAGAGAGCTAGAGAGCAGGAGGAGCAGGAGGAGCAGAATGTGAAGGGATCAGGAGAAAAAAGAGAAGAAGAGGAGGAAGGAGGGACAAACAAGACAGAAGATAGAATAGAGGAGACGGCTGAACAGAAGCTCACAGGGATGCACCGAGAGTCCGAGGAGAAAGAGACGAGTAAACTCCAAGTGAAGAACGCGGCCGTTGAAGAAGCTCAGCATCACGACAGAGAGGATGAGGCCGCCAGAGAGACAGGAAACAGGAAAAACAACGAGGAGACAGCTGATGAGCAACGAAGAACAACGACCAACGCCAGGTTTGATCCTAAAATACTCATGTGTGAGGAGAGCGACAGAAGCCACGGAGGAGGAGGAGTTGGCAGGAAGCTGGTTATCTCCAAACACCCAAAGGTTTACCAGGTGAGAGCTGTGCCGGTCGTGCCCCCGAAGCCTCAGCACTGCAAACTCACCGCCATGACCCTCCGGCAGCAGCATCA